TGTGTGTGTGTGTGTCTGTGTGTGTGTCTGTGTGTGTACATATATATATTATATATCATAGATATATGTATATATATTATATACATATATTATATATATATATATATATATATATATATATATATATATATATATATATATATATATATTATACATATATTATATATATATATTATATATATTATATATATTATATATATATATATTATACATATATTATATATATATATTATATATATTATATATATTTATATATATATATACTATATATATACTATATATATACATATATATATATATATATATATATATATATATATATATATATATAGAGAGAGAGAGAGAGAGAGAGAGAGAGAGAGAGAGAGAGAGAGAGAGAGAGAGATACACACATATATATATACATATAGAAAGAGAGAAAGGGGGGGGAGAGGAGAGAGAGAGAGGGGGGGGGGGGAGAGAGAGAGAGAGACGCCGTACCTTTCACTTTTACTTTTCTCACCGGAACACACACAGGGAACTCCCCCTCCCGCTCTCCTCACCCCCATCCCCATGCCTTTATCTGACAGAAGGTTAATTTCACGCACTTGCGCCTTCAGCGACCATTGTTGAAACAATAGTAACATCTTTTTTCACATAAAAATGAAGGGGCGAAAAAAACAATGGGATACGAAGAAACCAAGACAACTGAGTAAAAGGGAAATAGATGTGACAAGATGGATTAAAGGAGAAAAAAAAAGAATGAAAAAGAGATTGGGACAACAATTGGGACAATAAATGTAAAACGAATGAAAGTAACATCATAAAAGCAACAACACACCTTCGTGATGCATGGCATCATCCTACCGCCCCAGAGACCACGTAACACACAACAAGACGCTGCAATGGAGAACGAAGCAGGCTGTGGCACTCGTTTCTTCCCCTACCATCCTCTCCCCTATCTATGGCCATTCATTCTCTTCCCTCCTATTCTCTACTCCCCTTCCCCATCCCCATCCGCTCCCCCCTCTCCTCTCTCCGCCATGACGATTTCTAGACTTTCTCCCATGACGACTTCGAGGTCACAGCTCTGGGTGCCGGCCAAAGCCTCCATCGAAAGTGGTTCGAGTTGGGATGGACGAGTTCACTGATTCGCGAATGAGGACTGACGATGCCGTGTCTTGGAAAGTGTTCAGCTTCAAAGGGGCGAGAGAACGAGTGGGTGAGAAAGGGAGGGATGGAGTTGGGGCTGAGGAGAGGAAGAAAGTTAGGAGAGAAGAGAGGGGGAAAAAAGGGAGAGGAAAGGGAGAAATATAGGAGAGGGATATGGGAGGGAAGAAGAGGGGTGGAGAGGGGAGCGGAAAGGAGCTGGTGGGGGAGAGGAGGGGAGGGGAGGGAGAGAACATGAGGGGGAGGGGAATAACAGGAAGGAAGCTGGAGAGGGAAAGGGAGTGAGGGAGGGAGAGGAAGAGGAAGAGGAAGAGGAAGAGGGAGGGAGGGAGGGATGGAGGGAGGGAGGGAGGGGGGGAGAGAGAGGAGAGGAGAGGAGAGAGGAGGAGGAGAGAGGAGAGAGGAGAGAGAGGAGAGGAGAGAGAGGAGAGAGAGAGAGAGAGAGAGAGAGAGAGAGAGAGAGAGAGAGGAGAGAGAGAGAGGAGAGAGAGAGAGAGAGAGAGAGAGGAGAGAGAGAGAGAGAGAGAGAGAGAGAGAGAGAGAGAGAGAGAGAGAGAGAGAGAGAGAGAGAGAGAGAGAGAGAGAGAGAGAGAGAGAGGAGAGTCTCTGATTCTTCAGAAACACGCTTTTCCATAGGGACGACTTGTTTATATAAGCAATCAAATATCTTTTAGTAACAAACTTGCCATAAGATATTACTAGGTGAAAGCGAGTGGCGTCGGAAGGGTGTTTAAAGCGTGCGAAGAACGCCCCCCCCCCTAATGGTTCCCTTCCTCCGGGTCACAGGGAGTCTATGACCTGGGCATGATATATAGGCGCACCTCGGAGTCCATATACAAAAGTGATTTAGCTTATGAGCAAACGGAAAACGAAAATAAAATCAAGCAAAAGGGAAATATTAGCAAGACAGGTGCTTAACTCGGGGAACTCGAATGGAACATCTACAAGAACTTTGCTGAGACAAGGAACATTTTTCCTTAACCCTGCGTCCTTTCTTTTAACCAACTGTAGTGAAATAAAGTCACGCTTGATAAAGCTTGGACATGCTAGTTAATTTCTCTACCAAGAACATGAATGATTTTTTAATCTGCTAAATACACGCGAAAAAATTATAAACTGGCAAAGTCAAAAACCTTGTAATTTACGAAGAGCGTAACAACACAAACCCATATTTAAACCAGTATTTTCCATCGCAGTTTGGATTCGTCCCCATCAGTGGCATTGAAACCTCAAACTCAAAATAGGAAGTTCTAGTCGCAATAATTTGCAATCCTTATTTGCTTAACTACCATCACGATAACTTTGATAAAGATTCTTCTGCATGATCTTCCCCGACAGTGACGGAGAAGAACCCTATCTCTTCCGTGTTCTGACGCCCGGGGCAACTAGACGACCCTTTGCCTGCGCTCGCTCTTCATTTCTCCTCGAAATGGTTCTTGCGGGCGGATATGCAACAAGCCTTTACCTGTGAATTTTGTGTATTTCGGCGATCTTTATAACAGGATGTACTATCCTGATTCACACAATTATACTGTTATTTAGGTATATCTATATCTAAAGGGGACGTGATAAGCAACCTTCCCGTTAGGTCATTGAAATGCTAAATTCTTGGATCAGTGTTGCCCTTCCCTCCGTCGCCCACGGGTCCTCCTCCCACACGCCCACGACCGACGGCCTTAATGTCACTCTGTAAGATCCCTCTCCCTCGCATTCCCATGATCAACCAAGTGGAGACCAGGCGCTCGCGAGAAGCAGACTGGTGACCTCCCTTAACCTAAACCCTCTGGGAGTTAGCCGTTCGTGGTCTCTCTGGGTCTCGGGACCATAACGGATCGCCGAAACTGGTCACCCGGGATCACCTCCACGAAGGGGTCAAAGTCCGCTAAGGTCACCCGGTACTGTCTCTCGTCTGGCGTCTCGCCACGTGCCAAATATATGGATGACCGACTGGCAGTAAGATATTTCCATAGGTTTTTTGACACTTCTAGTATAAAATCATGATTCTTTCATACACGATTTCTATTTGTTTGTGTTATATTAATGGGCCTATTATTTCAGTAAGAAGTTATTTGTTGGTTAGTAGAGTCAGCCCCGACTATATCGCTCTACACCTTAGCAAATATATTTCTTTATATAAACACCCCGATATTTTTTATATTCACATAGCTTTGACTATAATGGCTAAATCAAAAGAGGAAATTCCTAAGATGAGCTTCGTTCAAGGATAAGTGACGTCACAAGGCTACATGCCGTCATATGTATTCCAGGACCTCGAGTCTGCGCGGGACAAGTCTCTCGAAAGGCTTGGGGCAGTCCACAGCCGGGTGCTTTTTCAGCATTCTACTCATACACACACACACACATTTTTTTTTATCTATGCATGTTGCCTGAAATAAAATACAAATACAGAATCTATCTGTAAACTTCAGCTACTCTCACTCCTCCAGGAACAAGTTTTATAGCGCATTGTATTTAATCGTTCTGTACAACGGTATGTACATATATCATATTGGCATGTGTTTAAGAACTGTGCAAGTTATCAAGCTTCGCACCATTATCACCCTTGCCATATCCGTTTGTCTTGACAAAAGGGGCATAAAAAAATCATCAGTCGTTTTTCTGGCAAGGTTACCGAAGTGAGTGGCATTATAGGGGAGTGGAAGCGGCGGATCACTGTGGGCGTCGTGGTCCTGTTAGTGTCCTCCGGCCCACGCCCAGGCCCTGACGCCACCCACGCCCCGGATGCCTGCCCGTTTACATTCACTCCTCGAAACTTATAGATCACAAAGAAAATTGGCATGGTAGTGCATTTCTTGCAAATAGGCGGAACATTAAGCGATACTTATTGAAAGGCCAGAAAGTTAAGGGGTAAGATTTCACACGAGTGTTGCAGGAAGATGACTTCCCACGCTCGTTCTACCACCGTCACTACCGTGTCACCTGCCCTTTTGCTCTTCAGGTTTGGCTCGAAAATCGTCACTGACATTTCCTCTGCATTGCTCGCTTCCTTCAGCGTTCAGTTTACCTGATGATACTTTTTTAAAAAATCAAGAATTATGACCACCAGCATTATGAAAAGTGGACAGGAGAGTGAATACTGGTTAAGAACATACTTTGCAACTACGATTTTATACCTTAATTTTGTCTTCACTTTTGTAAACTTTTCTCTGTGCAATTGATGCAGAAGGAATTCCACCTTAACAGTCGAAAAGATGACTACTTTGATGGCATCGAAATCACCAGATCATACACTAACATGAACAGTAAAAACCTATTTGGACCGTTTGCTATTAATATCTTATATAAGGAAACATATATTAAGCACATGCTTATAACATTATGCTTTACTTTTTCAAAATGCCTTCCAAAGATTTTAGCCTTAATTTGAAAAGAACATTCATTTTAAGGGTTTCATCACATTGAAACACAATGGTGCGAGATAAAGCGACACTTTGCAAAAGTAATGAACTGCAATCGTGCCACCTGAAAGGCTGGCTCCAGCACATATGACGAAACACGACCCTCCTTCCACACTCCAGCGATGCCACACCACTGGCTTAAGTTGGGTCATGACTAGTGCTATTTGGACGAAGTCTTGGCCATTCTTTAGGAACTGTCCAGTATATTGGACTTTCGCTTGTGAAAGGCACTGCCGATGATCTTTAGAAGAAACTCAACGATCCTGCACTTTGGATTCATTACAATAAGCGATTCCGACGCGATGATTGCTTCAAGGACTTCCTTTACAGACTGGCTGCCGCGCCCAGCCATCTCTTTAGCCCAGTTGTATCTTCTTTTTCAATTTCACCAAGATTTTTCTCAAACTAAATCAAAGGAATTTAGGTACTTACCAAGATGAGTATCACAGCAGCTTTGGAATCCATGACTGAAACAGAAAAGAACAAGTTAAATGGGTGTTTATGTATGTGAAAGTGAGATCAATGCTCATTCCTTGAGCAGCTACACTGTCGCTGCGGAGATTATTGTCCATATCTCTTCTCTTACCTAGTTAATCCAACGAAGAATTTTGCGTATAAATCCAATGACACGTCAAAAACAATATAAGCCCAATTTACACACTACACGATTTGATTAGACACTACAAATCGCTAGTGTTTTCAGGAGATTCACTCAACACAATTTCACTCAGCCGCCATCTTGGATTATCGCCTCCAGTGTAACATGGCGCCCGCCTACACAAGACAAGAGTGAGCGATACAAGAGAGTCGTTTCAAAATGCACATCGGGACGTTCCAAAATACACACCGCGTTTCTACGACAATTTCGGGAAAATCGAATGCAAGCAAATGCTGATATAAACGAACTCGAACTTATACCGTTTTTCTTGGAAACACGAAAAATATTTTTTCTTGAGATGTTGAAGTATTTCTCGGGAAGGCAAGTGGGCGGAAACTGGCACACGAATAAAATTCTCTCACTCGCGGTGAACATCTAAAGACGGGTGAGGTGCCAGTTACTTTCTTTGTGACGATTTCACTTTCATTAAAATTTCTCATAGTATTCAAATGGAGCCGTTTCTCTTTTACTTTTACGTCAAACGACGAAGTTAATTCATAGTTAGTTCCAATTTAAAGCTCCTGAAACGTGTGCATCATAATGATAAATATAATTAATGTTTTTTCTCACGAATTGTATATTATACAGACTAGTTCGTTATTAGTATGTAATTTATAAACCTGTCATTAAGTATGTATGATGAAGGCTAGATTACTAATCTTCTCGCACCTGGCATTTAATTTTACCTTGAGAAGGAGGTGTGGGTGCCTCGCACATGACGTCATAGAGGGGCTACCAAAAAGCTTAATGTACCCTTTATTTCCCACGTAGTTCAGCAGACTTCATGAAAACTAAATAAACTTACCATTACCCCGATGCAATTATTCTAATAGACATAATCTGAATAGTCACTCATAAGACTAAAATATTTTTTAAAAATGCCAGCAACTAATCACCTCCAGTCTGGGCATGACGTAGGCGTAGATGACGTCTTGGTTTCCAAAGGTTATGCATTTCACGAGAGTCAAGAGTAAAATTAATAATAATCATATTGTGACCATCAAAGTTTCCAGAATTTGTAAACCATTACTAATGACAGCTGCGACAAAAATATACGGTAATTATAGCAGGTATAACATGTTCTTTTTCCTTATTATCTTTCATTGCGTAGAACCTGAATTATTTACAATAATTTTAGTCCTGATACATTGCTTTCGAATTACGGGAAATCCCTCTGGAGGGGAGGTTGAGTCTATAGAATGGACATATGTATATATATGTGTGTGTGTGTGTGTGTGTGTGTGTGTGTGTGTGTGTGTGTGTGTGTGTGTGTGTGTGTGTGTGTGTGTGTGTGAGCGCGCGCGTGTATGTATGTATGCACACACACATATATTAATATTGCTGTGATTACCATCCTTATTCTCATCAGCATAATTATTTTCATAATTACTATCATCAATAACATTTATTCACAATTGAGTAAATTATTAAAAATAAATAAAAATGCACACACATACACTTATACATTTTATACACACTTACATTCATAAATGATACGTGCATAAATACATACATACATACACACACAAATACGTGACTGCATTCATGCATGCTTAGGTACGTATATACATACATACATACATTTATATATATCAAAAGGAAAACGGCCACAGTAGGATTTATTATTTTTATTTTCTTATTATTTTCCTTTTCATCTTTTGTGTACACGTTACTGCGTTTGTGTCATATAAATATATATATATATATATATATATATATATATATATATATATATATATATATATATATATATATATATACATATATATATATATATATATATATATATATATATATATATATATATATGTATGTATATATATATATATATATATATATATATATAAAGATATAAATATATATATATATATATATATATATATATATATATATATATATATGTATCCATACATACATACATGCATGCATGTGTATATACATATATACATACATACCACACACACACACACACACACACACACACACACACACACACACACACACACACACACACACACACACACACACACACACACACACACACACTCTCTCTCTCTCTCTCTCTCTCTCTCTCTCTCTCTCCCTCTCTCTCTCTCTCTCTCTCTCTCTCTCTCTCTCTCTCTCTCGCACGCTCGCAAGTGCAAATTCCGGACAAAAGCCGTCCGTTATATCACCAGCCTCAGGCAGCGAGACAGCGAACTACCCGAGTGTAACCTGTGGACACATCACGTGACAGCCAGGCAGATGATATAAGACTGAACACGACCGTTGCAAGATGCATCCCTCCTGGAGTACATGATCTGGAGGTACGTTTGCGCCAGTACAATTGAAGGAGGCTAAGGAAAGGAAACGCCGAATACTTGTTATTACGCGAACAGAATACTTTCAATTTTATTTTCATCAGTATCATTATTGTTCTTCTTATCATAATGATTGTTATAATTATCACCCTAATCATCACCTTTATCATTACTGATGTTATCATTATTATAATTATTATTATAATCATCATCATTATTATAACTAACATTATCATAATTATCAGTGATATTATTATTATCATTATTATTATTAGTAGTAGTACTTTTATTATCATTATCATTATTATTATTATTATTATTATTACTAATATTGATATTGACATAATTATTATTATTATTATTATTATTATCATTATTACTATTACTATTGTTATTATTATTATTATCATTTTTATCATTATTATTATCATTGTTGTTTTTCTTATTGATATTATTATTATTATTATAATTATTATTATTGTTATAATTATTATTATTATTATTATCATCATAATCATTTTTATCATTAATATTATTATCATTATTGATATCATTATCGTTAGCATTATTATCATTACTATCACTATCATTTTTTATCATTGTTATTACCATTGCTATTACTATTATCATTTTTCTGTTAGCATTATTATCAACATCATCAGTATTACATTCATTATTATTATCATTATTATTATTATTATTATTATTATTATTATTATTATTATCATTACGGTGAGAAGGAACGAACGAACCGGAAATAGAGTGGAGAATAACAGTACAGTGTGCAAGGCGTTTTCTTTTTTCGCCCACGTTAAGTTGAAACTAAGAAGAGAACGGGAAGTGAATGTGTTAAGACAAACTGTCCCGGGAAACGCTGCAAGCTTGTGGTCACACCTTTACCAACGTCTAAAGGAACATCTAGTCATAAGAGCGTTCACTCGCTCATGATGAAGCAGTAAAATAACACGTATAGCATTTTTTTTTCTCTAAATTACTGCAAATCATTAGCAATCACTATTGAGTCCATTGCGATATAACAGTATTATGAGGATTTTTTGTGGCAACATTTCAGCGCTGGGTGGAGATGGTAAGACTGATGAGGAGGCGATAGGCGGGGTTTCTTCCTTCCTTCCTCCTCCGCCCTTGAGCTGGTCAGTGCCGCTCAAAAGGAGGGGAGGAGGTGGGGAAATGGCGGAGAGGATGTTGTGAGGGTGATGATGATAATGACAATAATGATAATAATAATGATGATGATGATAATGACGACGGCAACGACGACGACAACGATGATGAGATATGGAAAAGGAGAAGGAGGAGGAGGAGAAGGAAGAAGAAGAAAAGGAGGAACAGAACGAGGACTGGGGGTAGGGGGAGGAGGAAGAAGACGATCAGGAAGTTAAGATAATATTCTGTATAATTTAAAACAGAGAGAGAGAGAGAGAGAGAGAGAGAGAGAGAGAGATAGAGAGAGAGAGAGAGAGAGAGAGAGAGAGAGAGAGAGAGAGAGAGAGAGAGAGAGAGAGAGAGAGAGAGAAGCAGGAGGGCAAAGCCCGAATCAACCACCATAACAATAAGTCCACCCGGTTGACGGGCGCAGAAACAGAGGAAGCAAGGAGATAAATAAAAGAAATTATCAGCTGATAACATAAGGAGAAGTAAAAAGAAGGGGAAACTAACTGTCCGCCGGGAAGCCAAGGAGTACGTGGACGCAGACGGACTTCCTGCTGCGAGCGTCTTCGAGAGCTCGACCTCAACAGAGGAAAAAGGGGGATAAGAAAGCTTTAGCCGTCCGCATGTGATATACCGCCACGCCACTCGTGCGCGTGCGCGTGCGTGAGTGCATGTGTGTGTATGTGTGTGTGTGTGTGTGTGTGTGTGTGTGTGTGTGTGTGTGTGTGTGTGTGTGTGTGTGTGTGTGTGTGTGTGTGTGTGTGTGTGTGTGCGTGTGTGTGTGTGTATACATGTAAATGTATAACTATATATATAAATAAATACTACATATATATATATATATATATATATATATATATATATATATATATATATATATGTATATATACATATATATGTATACGTGTATGTATATACAGAGAGAGAGAGAGAATGAATGTGTGTCTGGGTATGTTTTGTGTTTCTTTCACCTTGCTAGCTTTAACATGACAGCGCTGTTCTGTTCCTACCATCCAAGGTCTTTCACTCTGGGCGTCACAGCAGCAAGGACAGCGACGGATCACAAGACGAAGGCATGTCAGTCCGCGCTGCTGAGAGGACCAGAGCCTCCTCAAAACTCTCTTCAATTCTCACGTTCAGTTGCAGACAGAGATATTAGGTTTTCCTTTGTTCATATGTTAAGATCGGTTGCTATTAGTGGTTTCCTTGATTACCTGCAGGATTGGACAATTTTTTTTTCTCAAAAATCATTAATGCCGAATCGAAAAGACACCTACAGAGGGTGTTTTTTTTTATGTCAAAGCTAATGAATTTCACATATTTAAAATTTCTACTGGTAACACGTGCGATGTGAGCTGCATGATATTGTTCAATGTAGTGTTCACTCGTCTCACGTTGTCTTTCCCGTTTTCACGAGGAAATAAATGTTTCAAGATGCACCGTGGTGAACAAGTGTCACAATCTTATATAAAAACTCTCTCCCTTGATTATACACACATACGAGTATTCAACGCATACAAGTGATTAAAAAAAATATAGAATCTTGCTAAGACCATTCCTTCCTTCAGAAGTCGTCTCCATTTCCTGTCATGCTGTTTTCTATGAAGAAGATTAAGAGAAAATGGACATCTACAAACAAATAATCGAATGGACAAAAATTTCTTTATGAATAAGAAAGATTTATATTTACAAACTGACGTAAATCGAAGGTTGATCTACGAAATACTTTTATTTACAAATAAGTAAACGAAACTGCAGCGAACAAACAATGGCTAACTAACTCTCTCGAACAACAACCTTGACGCCTCGAAGCCCCGCCCCCTCCTCCCCTGCAGTATCCTCCTGCAGTGA